ACAATATCGAAAAATCCCGAAAAAATACCGAAACGTACCGAAATATATAGAACAAAGAATACCAAAAAAATCCAAGAAAAAAATAAAGAAAAGTCCCAGAAAACTCCCGAAATTGTCTTCTTTTTGGTTGTTTGTGTTTCCGAAATTTGTTGTGTACCCCGAAATTGTACTGAAAAGGCCGAAATCCCGAAAGGAACCGAAAAACATAATTCGAGCAACTCTGAAAAAATAAAGGAAAGTTCTGCAATNTTTTTCCCCCCCCCCCCCCCCCCCCCCCTTATTCTTGACCGAAAAATAAAAATTTTGGCATTTAAGAGTTAGTATGAAAAATCCCTTAAGTTACTAAAATAATTCTGAACACGAAAAATCGCAAAAAAAATAAAAAAAACTAAAACAATTTTTTGAAAGTTTATTCTTCATTATTTGTTAAATTTCGAAAGAACAATAAAAATTATCAATAACCGTCTCTTTTCATGAAGTCTAATAAATCCTTTAGTACTTCAGTATTTAGCAACCTTTAGCCTTTTCATCTCCCAAATATTTCGTTTACATTTACTTTAGTATTTAGCAACACCTGAATAGGCAAATAAATATTTTTACTTTACTTTTTTGTTCATCTCTAAATATTAAGTATCTATATGAGTATTTAGTATCCAAATACACAAATTTTTAATTATTTATGCCCATCACTGGTATGAATGTAACTATATTGCGTAAATTGTCACAGGACACTAATCAATTTATATGGGCTCATTAGTGTTTTTGAAAACCATATGAAGAAATAATCAGCTAACCGATGGGTTCCAATGACACTTTGTTCTTTTAGGTATCAACTTAACTAATTGAAAGATAAAAACCACAGTAAAAACTATGGCAAGAAAACACTTATGTATACAATTATAATTAGGGCATTCACAAGACGTGTTAAGCGTCGTAATGTCTTCAAGTCTTTGCCAACGAAAAATAACGTTTAAAATGATTTTAGGGGATTTTTTAACTACGCCAAAATGTTTTAAACTTATAGAAAATAGTCATATACATATGTAATTAGCTCTTATCATACACTGTGAATACCCTAAGTATTAAGAAAACACAAAAAAAAAAATGAATTTCAGCTAAGTATAAATTTGATCATTTCCCAATATTCGATAACTTAAGGCGTAACTTTACTTGCATACACACTAAATATTTATCAACATATTTCGACTACATATTTTTCTATGCCTAACAATTTATTTGCTATCTGACATTATCAATTAGATAATATTTACACATAGAAACAGCAAACGGTAAATGGTATTGGTATTTTTCTAGGAAAATAAAATCAAAGTAATCCATCAATGTGGACTTAATTTGGACTAGCAGAGCAGCCAGAATATCCAATACATAAATGTATGCGCCCATGGAAGGATTGGTTATCATAAACGATAAACAAGCGAATTTTTTTTTTTTTTACTAAATAATACATTGAGTAAATTAATTTTTGATTTATCGCCAACCAATTAATTTTGTAGCATCTAACGACCATCGTTTACCCATTTAACACACTGATTCCCCAATAATTAATAAATTGTAGTACTCCATATAATCAGGCTACCGATTCCATAAAGTACCCAAGTATTTTTTCAGCTTTTGTATATTTTTTTTATTAGAAATATAGATTGAGCGAAATAGAAAACGCTTTGAGTAAGAGAGATATCAGTTATTTGTTTTGGGTACGCCTTTTCATACCCAGCACACTACAATACTTGAGTTCGAGCTTCACACCAAACTTTTCAGGCCTTTGAGGGTTTCGAGACTCATGTCGCCTTACGTACTCTTAAAACTTATAGCTGAAACCCGGAATGTTTTTTGAAGCAATTCCAAGGAGTTTAGATGAATGCGGACTTAGAGTGGAACTTCATGTCGAGCTTTTGGGCGAAAGCCACAGCACCTAAAAAGCTAAAAACTTGCCTTCATTTAACTAACTAGACTAGTAAAATAGAATACACAGAGAAAGATGAAAGAGGTAGTTGAACGTTGACCTCTAAGGTTTGTGGAAAATACGGCCCGTTCTTGTAGCAAAGCTTTGCATGCAGCTAAATCCTTTGCGCATAAGTTCCACGGAGGTGAGAAAGAAGTGTGACTCAAGATGTTGAAATTTTAGGCTCGCGATAGACGAGCTGCTGATTACTTAGTAGCTGTTGAGATGATTCCACCGCACATCAGGTAATGTAGAGAATGAATGAGTTCCCAGGGCCGTAGAGAGGAATTTCGGACCCAAGAATATATGGAAACAAATTTTTTGGCAAATTTTGATTTGCATACCCCCCGCATTTTTAGCCTAAATAGCGTAAATGTGAAGTTGTATGGCCGTAGGATAACGAAAACCTGTGCCGATTTTTGATTGAAGTTTTAGTTAATAACTTAAATTTATCGTCCATGAAAACTTTGAAAATGCAAAAAATTCAATATGTTTTCAATATTTTTGCGCATTTCTAGTAGATAAATCTGCATCTTCAAAATCTAAAAAAAATTAATTGAACTAAAACTTGCAATTTTTATCCCTCAATATCCTTACATATATTAATAGGGTTTGAAATTTAAATAATAATTACGGTCCCTGAGTCGGCACGGGTTGCCATGTGGTCCAAATTGCATACAATTTTATTTGCATAGTTTTTAAGACAAAACCAATAAAATGAAGGGATATGCGTTAAATATAAAACCAACTTGGTTTTTTGGGACAGTCTAATAAATACCCATATATAAAAACGAGTAAACATATCTGTGGACTTTTGACTAAACAACTTCTCTCAAGTAAGGTCATTTTCTCTTCAAAGCTGTTTAGTCATTAATAGGAGTAGTTCAAGATAGTATCTTAATGAAAGTTAAATAAAAATGCAAAAAAAAAGCACAGAGGTTATTTTGTCAAAAGTCCACAGATATGTATGTATGTATGAATGTTTGTACTCTGATATTCATGTACTTAAACATATGTATTTTTTTGTAGTTATAATCAACCCTTTAACAACTTTGAAGTATACCCATTTGAGTGGTACAATTTTGTTTGTATCGTCAATTTCTCGCCTATTACCTAAAAACGAATCGAAGAAAGAAAAAGAACAAACAACAGCAACAACACTAAGATTAATGCTTGTGTCGGTGCTGTTTGGCTAAATGGATACAAATCAAAACATATTATTGCCACTTGCACAGTGACCATTAGCTCAGCTAATCGATAGTAAAATTTAAAATTCTAATAAGCGGTATACCACCGGCCGGGTTGTTGAAAGCTGGCGGCGAAGAGCTGGTAGGGCGCATGCATCAGCTGTTAAGAAAAATTTGTGCTTAAGAATGCATGACCGAAGATTGGAATTTGATTGTATTATACCAAATCTCAACATTGCTGACAAAGTCATATTAACAATTTTAGGCGAAAGACTGGAGTCCTTCATGCAAAAAACTGTAGAGCCTTACCTGTGAGATTTCAGGAATGGCAGATCCACCATTGGCCACCATTTTCACAGTGCCTCAAATCGTGGAAAAGACTTTAGATAAGTCCCCTTCTTTTAGATTTCAAATTCAACTTGAATCTGCAACTACGACGCCATATCTAAATTTGGGGTGTTCAGCTCTGTCTAAATCCGGAAAATCTTCTTTGCGTCGTCTGAAACCTAACTGGGTTTGCGCAGGCAGCATATATGTATAGTAAAAGTACGATGCTGCCGGTATATGCAGATGACATTGACATCGTCAGTATTAAACCCAGAGCCATAAGTCAGAGATCTATCTGAGGATTATGGATTGACGAAATGTACGAGCTTTATAGGTTAAACAATGATATGTATGGACATAGTGAAACGCATTCAGATTCAACGCTTGCGAGGACTTGGACATGTCGTGGATGATGATGTAAAAATATCCTTTGGCTCAGCAACTATGGGTCGACATTGATAGCAAGGGATGAACAACTAACGTAACTTTGCAAAGAAGGGAAGAAATTGGGTTAGGTTGGGCTGGTTAGCCACTGCCTAGCTCCGCAGAGACCATTAAGGCCCAAGGCCTTAGCAGAAAAACATAGCATATACAGCGTATATCTGCAAATCAGGTGCAAAGTTAGAGAACATCTTGCTATACTCTACACCTTCGTCTTCCTCTGTTATCAGCATCGCGACCCGCTTTGAATACTTTCAGAGCTGGAGCATTTCTGTCCATTCGAACGAAATAACCAAGGCAGGGGAGCCGCTGAATTTTAATTCGCTGCAATATGTCTACATCGTTGTAAACCTCATACAGCTCATCGTTAAATCGTCTGCGGTATTCGCCATAGCCAACGCGTAAAGGCCCGTAAATCTTTAGCAGAATCTTTCTCTCGAAAACTGCAAGAGCTGCTTCATCAGGTGTTTTCATTGCTTTCGCTATGTGTAGCGTCAAATAAGATGACTAAGTTCATCAAAACCACATTCAACTGCTATTGCTTCATGGCGTCCTATTCATCTAACATATAAATCCTTCTGATTCTTGAGATAGTCCAACAACACAATGCCGAAACTTCCTTTTTACACAACAAAACGCTCTGCTAAAAACACTGTGCCTTGCTCGTACATACTTACCTTTGGTAGGAGCGTCAGCAGCGTAACACGCCTTATCAGTATAACCCATTGGGCACTATCATCATCGGTGCGATACCTTCAAACCATTATGACAACTAATATTATTAATAGAGATATCTATTACCAGCGCATTATCATTGTTATATTTTATATGGAAATACGATTTAAAACAATTTATTAGTCTGCGACCAGTCGTTGTGTGCGGTTGGTTGAATTCGGTTTTTGGTTATTCGTTGCGACTTTTCGGCAGTGACTTAATGCCAGTGATCAAAGAGAGGGTGAAACTCACGTACCGGCAGTGATTGTCGCATGAAATTGGCGATAAGTTTTTAAGTGCGCGGTTACGAGTATTACCCGTTAGCAATTATTGTTATCAAATTCCTTAGCGACTTTGCAATTTACATAATGGAAACCGCAGCTATGAAATTCAACAGAAAATCATCATTTTCCATCGCGCACATTTTAGACGATAAAACACACAGTTCTAAGAATCCCACACCTCCGATGGCGCACAGTAATGCCATTGGCGCTGAACATTTGACGCAGCACGCAAAAATTAGCAGCTCAGCATCCGTCATAACAGGGAGCCCAAATTCGGTTGCTGCAGCAATGCAACCACGTATCGGTGAACCAGTGCCTCCAACAATTGCCAATCCCATCGCGTCCACGACTTATTCCACGACGCTTCCGCCCAATGCACAATACGCATTCAAGCACCTGCTGCTCAACAGTGATCACGCCGCAGCTGGCGGTAGTCCGCTGATGGCGTCGCCTGGTGCATTACGCTTTGATCCCGTTTACGATCCTGCTTCTCTCGTCTATCAACAAGTCTTGAATATGCAGAAGAGCTCCGCGTTATTTATGCCACACTTTCAGGCGGCGGCAACTGCGGCTGCGTTAACGCCGTCGGCTTATTGCGAGCAGTATAACCCATTCATGGAATGTGAAGGTGAGTAATTAAAAAATGTGAAATGGTATTAACAATTCGTAGCTGCAGGATTTTATAAGTGCGAGAGTGTTTTTTTTTTTTNGTCTTACTAAGTTAGATCGAAACTAATATATAAGAAATACAAATAATTATATACATATGTAGATATGTTCTTTCAGGAATTTTCCCAGCTCATAACAACTTCCGCTGGTCTGATAAGAATTTCGAGGTTTTTCATGCCGGCCATCATTTCAAGCACTTCACACTCACATATTTCGCTCTGTCTCTATTTGTTACGGAAAATATGTATCGGTTACCTCTTTAGCACTCTGTATCGATCCCAAAGAGCTCTTCTTGCGTCCGATCGAGGCGAGGGAGACTTATTAGTTATCCTGATTGGCTGTTGCCACGACCCCAAAAGGACCTGAGCTCTTCCTGGCGGTAGATTCTAACTCGATAAAGAAAGCGATCAGAAAGGGAAATCCCAACTGTATAAACAGCATTTAACCTTCTCCTGGAGTGTGAGTGTGAGTCCGTTTCACGTGGAAGGAGAGGTGCTTAGGATATATCTGGCCAAGAGAGCAGCACATACATACACTCTCTAAACACGGGATATATTCTGAAATACATAGGGGCTTTAGGGCTAGCTATAGTGTGGCGATGAATAGAAGTTGGCTTGATTCGGATTTTTAAATTTTAACAATAGTAATTTATAAACCTACAAAAAAATTGAGTGATTTAATTCATTAACGATTTTATTAGATTTAATTGACAGTAAGTCTACAGACTATGACATGAATTCTTTCATTCAAGATTCAAACTTTTATCGCGCATTGAAATTTTATATGGTAGATATACTTAGACCTAAAATTTCTCCTGCGCAAGTATCATTTTGAGATCGATATTAAGCGGATTAATTTCATCAATTTGGTAAAAAATCTGCGGCGGGTATACATATCTCTGGGTTGGGTATACATATCACCAGGGTTGGCAACTCAGCGAAACCGATTGCGTACCAAAAGACGCAGAAAAATCGTAGTAAAAAATAAAAAATCTAGCAAAAGATAAAAATTGGTTATTATTTTAAATGCATATGCATATTTAATGTTTTAAAACAAAACATAACAATTAACATTTGTACTAATTTAATTATTGCATATTATTTTTTTATTTTAAATATTGTAAGACTTAAATATATACCTTAAAATATTTTGACTTTTACAGCTAATTTCACGACGGAAATTAAGTAAAAAAAAATTTATTTTTTTTTGTAATTTTGTATGGAAATTTACAGAAAGAACATTTTTTTCCATTTATACTGGCTTCCCCATTATTTTTTGCAAATATCCCACCTTGTTCTCTTCTAAAACAAAGAGCTCGCTTCCTAGGCGGTATCTGCAATAGGTTATCGTACGGTTAGGGGCATAACCCTGGTAGGGGCGCGACCCTGATAAATATAGCCAAAACATACTCGGATTGTGGAGGCTACCGTACATGGCACCATTCACTCCTCCCCACTTTCCTCCTTAAACTTACTCAACAAACAAAGCTCCCACCCCATCGAAACAGCACGCTTCCTCGATTTGCTATTAGTTGAGCTTGAAGATAACGATTTATAATAGACTAAGCTGGACTTTTTAGCTGTGCCGTTACAACAAGCATTTGCCCCCGGTTGTCTTATATCCATCGAGGCCGATTGAAAAATACATACATATGTATAAATTTTAACGGAGTCTATACCATTTTCTATGAAAAATAGTTTTTTCTCCATTTAAAATATAACTTTGAGCGACCTCTACATATTTTTGGATTTCAAAAAAAAAAACATGAGTATATTTTTTCGATATAGAACAAACTTAGGGGGTTAGAACATTAAAAATCCGACCTTAATTTTTTCACNACTGTCAAATGTGAAAAAAAAATTCGCTGCGTCACTGAATAAATATATTATACTGCTATTCCAAATATAGCCTAATTTCATACTAAAACTGACAGAAATGGACTTAGAAACTTTTAAAAAAATTGTTCTCAAAAATTATGGGTGTGCAAATTATCGACAAAATTATCAAGTTGGGTCAATAAAATTCTATATATCGTCAATGTTTTTGCAAAACCGCCCATCGACCAGTTGCAAAAGCGCCTAAATCGCCGTTGTGGCACAAATGAGATTTGGTAACCCTGAAATCCAGGCATCGAGATTATGCATAAAATCGTTATTTAAACAACAGATTTGTAAAATAATATTTAGAGAAAATACCGTCCTACAAGGCAATGCCTTCAAATAAAATTCGTTTTTTTTGCTCTCCTGTAAAATTCGAGTGCCGTAAGATAGGCGGTTTTGCAAAAACATCAACGATATGTAAGTTCACTATTTCTTGCTCTAATTACGAAAAGGTACCAACAAATTAAGACATTTTGGTGAAATTTTGCAAAATTTTCATAACAAAAGTAATAAACATTAAATAAACTAAAGAAAAATGACCAAAACTTGCTCAAATGTTGCGTCCCAGTTTTTATTTGGTTTACTTTATGTACGCCCAAATTTATTTTGGTCAAACCATATTCAATAAAAATACTAAAAAAAAAATCTTTTGCAATAGTGTTTTTTTCGAATGGAGTTTCAGAGTTGAGAAGTTATGAATTTTTGAAGTAACTCCAAAAAGCGAAAACTCAAAAATGTATCTCGGTCGAGTTCAAATGCAAAAGAATTACTCAAGAAAAATAAAATTCCCAGTAGGCCTGGTACAGCGGTTTTGTAAAGGCTGGAATAAAACACTTTCGTATAATATATTTCTTCTTAATAACGAAATTTCGGGAGTTAAGTTGAGGATCTTTACAGCTTTTGGCGGAAGGACAAGTAAAAATCATAACTTATAAATTCTTTGAGACTCCATTTCGGAAAAATGCAACTGAAAAATTTGATCGATATTTGCTAGACCCATGATTTTTATAAAAAATTCCAATTCGTAGAATTTTATTATGAAATTAGGCTGTGTGCCAAAGTTGAGCCAAATCGAAGGCCATCGCGCAGGCCATTACCAAATTTTGTTCCATTTAATATGGAATCACCGTATAGAAAACTTCCAATTATTTTCACTATGAGCCACATGTATTAAATCACTAACCATATTTAGAAATTTCTACTTCATAATGTATGTATAGCTTTATTTTTTTTTTTGTTTGCACACTCGCTCATTTGTTTCTTATCGACTTTTTTGCGGTGGCCCCAATGATGGACAGCACCTTATTAATCGCTGTTAATAGCACTTTTTATTTGTAAGATAAAGCAACTTGAAGAAGTAAATTTGTGTATTGCTTAGATTTCATAGAATTTTCGTTGCTCACTTGAAGTTTTTTTTTGTTTGCCTCGAATGGACACATACTTACAAGTACTAATCGTATTATTGAAGTGTTTATTTGTAAATATTTCGGTGATAAGTCAATAATTGATATTCATATCTCAACTGTCATCACNTTCCAATTCGTAGAATTTTATTATGAAATTAGGCTGTGTGCCAAAGTTGAGCCAAATCGAAGGCCATCGCGCAGGCCATTACCAAATTTTGTTCCATTTAATATGGAATCACCGTATAGAAAACTTCCAATTATTTTTACTATGAGTTACATGTATTAAATCACTAACCATATTTAGAAATTTCTACTTCATAATGTTGCTTAAGTGTTTATGCACGTCCATACATATGTATGTATGTTTGTTTGCACACTCGCTCATTTGTTTCTTATCGACTTTTTTTGCGGTGGCCCCAATGATGGACAGTACCTTATTAATCGCTGTTAATAGCACTTTTTATTTGTAAGATAAAGCAA